AAAAAAAAAAAAAAAATACCTCCCCAAAGTAGGAGGTAGAACAATGTTTTGTTTAGTAATGTTATGTCAATTGATATTGATGTCCTCTGTGACTATGATCCCAAGCCCACAGGTCCACCTACTTGCTCCCTTTGGGAAGCTGGCTGTGTCCAAGAAGTGACTACAACCTTGTCCCTTGTCAGCTCTTCTATACAGCTGGGAATTCTTACAGAACATAGTAATACACTTGTAGAAACACTGTCTGCCAGCCTTACCCAGTTTTGGGCACACTCCCCACTGCACAGACATACCTAATAGTTCAGCCTGTCCACCTATCTATCCACCCATGTATCCGTGTTTGCCTTCACTGGCAATGCAGTACTGTATGTGCAAAAGGGTTCATCTTTGTTTTCTGGACCTCCCATGTACCTCTCTGTGTCTTCCTCTTCCTCAAAGCTACCATGTTGATCACTCACATTTGGTACATTGCCCTTCTCTTCAAGTAGTCATTTCTTAACATGAAAATTCTACTTAGGCAGCCTCACCATTTTCTGCACAGGAAAGAATATGCTGTTCTCTCAGAAGTTCACTCAGGTTAATTATGTTTCTGTTCTCTTCTGTGATCTAAGTCCAATGACTCCTGATGAATTTCCAATTAGGCATTTATTAAAAAGTACAATTAACATTGTTACATCCAGCCTTGAGTCATCTTTCTGTAGTATCTGCTTTCTACTAAAGCAACATTCACTTGAAGATTTTTTAATAGGACAGGAGAAGAAAGTGAATGTTTCTCTCATTACACAGGCCAAGGGAAGTAGCAGCATAGTGTGATAGGGAATGTTCCAAGATGCCCCAGCTCCCCAGTCCTCTATCTCAGGCTGCAAACCTACTCCAGGCAAAACAAGTAAACCTCAAAGGGCTAAAAGTCTTACTTACGGACACACATTTCCCTGCTTTCATAAAATCCAGGACAGCACTGGGATTTGCGCCTATACATAGTTTTTTCCCCATGTCGATAGGCTGTTCGATAGCTGATTCTATATAAAGGGGAAAAAAATCACATTGTTACTTCTAACTGCAATTTAGAAATAAAGAATTCATATTTTAATACAAAAGTTATTAAATATAATAAAGATATGAAAAGCAAAGTACTCCAAAATAAATAAGAAGAAACATGGAATATACATCTTGATCACTATTAACTCTCATCATTTTAGTTGAGTATATATTAATATTCCCAATTTCAGCCAATCTATCATTTATTTCAAGGGATCAGAAGTTTCATAATTTTTCTACCTCACTTATCTTGAAATATCTTCATATGGTATTTTCATATAATACCATTCTAATCAGCATTCAATTGCATATTTTTTAAAGGAAAAAATCAGATAATACCTTTAAGTCTGGCTCCATGCAGTATCATCCCATTATAAAATGGAAGGATAAAAGACAAGAGATCTTTCCTTTTAATTAAAGCCTTATTCATTCGTTGATTTATTAAGCTCATGTTTATTGAGTACTTATTATATTCCAGGTACTGCTGCACTGAGTAAATAGCAAAATAATATAAAGCCTTTCCCTCAAGGAATTTACATTCTACTCTGAAGCTAAATCCAGTAGAATTTGTTTAAGGAAAGACAGACATTAAAATAATAAATATTATTTTATTTATAGCTATTCATGCTTAAATGCTATGAAAATAAATAAATAAATAAAGCCCGAGTAAGGGAATAGCATGTGATGGAGAGGAAGTGCTAGTTTGTACTGAACGCTTGAGGAAAGCTTGTCTGAAGACACTGAGCATGACATCATTTAGTTCAGTGTAAGTCAGCAGGTGCCACACCCAACCCATAACCCAGACTACCATAAATCTTTTACTAATAAAATTAGGCATCCTTTCCATATTAACAGAACCTCTGGTGGTATAGTAGTCAAAGTATTTGGCTGCTAACCAAAAGGTCAAAGCCACCAGCAGCTCCATGGGAAAACGATGAGGCAGTCTGCTTCTGTAAAGATTTACAGTCTTGGAAACCCTATGGGCAGTTACATTCTATCCTATAGGGTCACTATGTGTCAGAATCAACTTGACGGCAGTGGATTCATTTTTTGGCCCATATTAAAATTAATATTTTTCTTTTCTGTTTTAACATTTATAGAAAAAAATGTATGGCCTTTTCCTTAAGGGTTCAATTTGAGCTAACCTTAAATGAATTAGATGTTCAATTATAGATATATGCTAGAATTTCTTGATATTTGTTTTTAAGAGCATCTCTCTGAATTATGCATAACACAAAAGGTGTTTAATTGTTCCCAACCAAACGATGGCAAACATTACATATTTCCTCTGCAGTTAGATAGTTAGCTCCTAAAGGGCCTTGACTACCTTTTTGCTTTGCTGTCCTCCCTGTGATCAGGAACAAAGCTAGGACAACAGCAAGCACTCAGTACCTACTCACTGAATGAATGGATGCACCTTCTCAAACATTTAATATTTCGAATTGTATACGACTCCATTCCCAGTTAGCCAAGCTTATAAATATATTTGAACCCCCGTTACCTGTGCCGTGTGCATTTAAACCAGTTTAGAATGTCAGTGCAGCTCGTGTAGTAAATTTGATCAAACGGATGTGGGTATGATTCCTGCACAGTCACTGAGTAGCTGAAAAGAAAAGGAAAGAGTCAGTACTTCTCTTTTTTACACAAGTGATATACTGTGTACTCAAAAGGGATTGTAGGCTAAATAATCTCCATTTACAACTCCACATTGAATTTTAACAATCTTTTTTTTTTACAGGTTTTTATTTGAATTAGAACCTTTCAAGAGTCAATATTAGTAATATATTTAAAACACATGGATCATGCTATAAATTTCAAAGGAAATTCTCTTCTATTCACCACAAGCCTTGGTATCCCCAAATTTTAAAATGCTTCACTATTTTTTCTGTATTTAGTCCCCTCCTCTTTCCCTAAGGTTCCAGGACAACAAAGACTTTTCACAAAAAGTTTCCACTTTAAGTCTGTATGCAAATAACAAAGTTAACTAGCAAAAAAGACTGACGTGTTCACAAGAGAGTAAATTTTGCTTCCAATTCTGAAAAATCAGAAAGAGTATATTTCCCTGGTTAGAACTTGTAATAATTTGCTTTCATGTGTCTGCTTTTCTTCTCAGATAGTGGAAGTGCATCTACAACCTCTAAATAAAAACAAACCAAAAAAAACTAACCAGACCCACTACCATAGAGTCAATTCTGGCCCATAGTAACCTTATAGGGCAGAGTAGAACCGCCCAATAGATATTCCAAGGCTATATATCTTTATGGGAGCAGACTGCGAAAGGCTGGTGGGTTCAAACCACCAACTTTTTGGTTAGCAACCAAATGAATTAACCACTCGGCCACCAGAGCTCTTTAAAACTGCAAAGAACTCTTTAAATCATGTTCTAAACATACAGTTGAGACAATTAGCCCTGAAATCATCACACCAACAGCCTGCTGCTTTTGCTTTCCCATACATTTTCATTAACAGCTTCTCACTAGAGTAAAAACATGCAATCTTACGGACCTACAAATGTGGGTGAAAAACATTCATGAAAGAACATCCAACGTGCAGTCTCACACTTTAAAATCCTAAGCAGTCTATTACATGCTTCAGAGCTCAGTTTCTGCCTACAGGAAAAGCTGGAGAATGCCGTTTCTCAAACAATCTATTCTATTTTCTTTAACAGTCTCTTAAAGATTTCCACTAAGATGTTCAATCCATACTGACAAACAAAATGAGCCACAATTACAGACTTCTTCACTGTAAATCAATACCCCAAGTTCACTAATAGAAACTATCAACTGGAGAAGGTACAGAGGAAATTAGGTTAAAATTTCAGCAAGAATTCAGGTTACACAGGACAGAACCTTCATTTGAAAAGGTGCTGGCCTCACAAAAGAGGAATTTCATCCTGTACCTGGTCTCTGCTAGTCATCATGTAGTTAGGTTTCAATACGGCATCCATGGAATAAACATCCTATTCATATGTTGGCCTACAGTCCCTAGGTTATGAATATCCAACTTAAAGACAACTCATAATTGCCCTTTAGTGTTACATATATTTGTCCTCATTTTGAAACTAATGAACCAACCCCTTGTTGTTGTTGTTGTCGTAGTTAGGTACCATCGAGTTGGCTCCGACTCATAGTGCCCTTACATATAACAGAACAAAACATTGTCCAGTCCTGCACCATCATCACAATCCTTACAATGCTTGAACCCATCATTGCAGCCACTGTGTCAATCCATCACACTGAGGGTCTTCCCTTTCTTCACTTACCCTCTATTTTACCAAGCATGATATCCTTCCTTTTATGGAGACTGGTCCCTTCTGACAACACAACCAAAGTAGGTAAGTCGAAGTCTGGCCATTCTCGCTCCCAAGGAGCATTCTGGCTGCAGTACTTCTAGGACAGATTTTTTTCATTCTTCTGGCAGCCTACAGCATTTTCAATACCCTTTGACAACACCACAATTCAAAGACATTAACTATTCTGGTCTTCTTTATTCATTGCCCAGCTTTCACATGCATACAAGGTGACTGAAAATACCATGGAGGTGCACCTTAGTCTTCAAAGTGACATCTTTGCTTCTTCACACTTTAAAGAAGTCTTTTGCAGAAGATTTTCATAGTGCAATACTATATCTGATTACCTGTTGCTGCTTCCATGGGTGTTGACTGTGGATCCAAGTAAAATGAAATCCCTGACAACTTTGATCTTTTCTCCATTTAACATGATGCTGCTTATTGGTCCAGTGTGAGAATTTTTGTTTTCTTTATGTTGAGGTGCAATCTATCAGTAAGTGCTTCAAGTCATCTTCACTTTTAGCAAGCAAAGCTGTGTCATCAGCATATCACAGGTTGTTAATGAGTCTTCCCTCAGTCCTGATGCCACATTCTTCATATAGTCCAGTGTCTTACATTATTTGCTCAGTGCACATATTGAGTAAGTATGGCGAAAGTATACAACCCTGATGTACATCCTTCCTGATTTTAAGCCATGAAGTATCCCCTTGTTCTGTTTGAAAGACAGCCTCTTGGTCTGTGCACAATTAAGTGCTCTGGAATCCCCATTCTTCAAAATGTTATCCATAACTTATTATGATCCACACAGTCAAATGCCTTTGCATAGTCAATAAAACACAAGTAGACATCTTTCTTGTATTCTCTGCTTTCAGCCAAGATCAACCTGACATCAACAATGATATCCCTCATTCCATATACTCTTCTGAATCCAACTTGCATTTTTGGAAGTTCGCTGTCAATATACTGCTGCAATCATTGTTGAATTATCTTCAGCAATATTTTTACTTGAGTGTGATGTTAATGATATCGTTTGACAATTTCCACATTCTGTTGGGTTACTTGTCCTTGGAATGGCACAAATCTCTATCTCTTCCAGTCAGTTGGCCATATATCTATCTGCCAAATTTCTTGGCATAAACGAGTAAGTCCCTCCAGCATTGTATCCATTTGTTGAACCATCTCAGTGGCTATTCTGTCAATTCCTGGAGTCTTATTTTTCACCAATTCCTTCAGCACAGCTTGGACTTCTTCCTTCAACAGCATTGGTTCCTGATCATATGCTACCTCCTGAAATACGTGGACAGGTACCAATTCTTCTTGATACAGTGACACTGTGTATTCCTTCCATCTTCTTTTGATGCTTCCTGCATCGTTCAATATTTTGCCCTAGAATCCTTCAGTATTGCAACTCGAGCCTTGAATATTTTCTTCAGTTCTTTCAACTTGAGAAATGCTGAGATTGTTCTTCTCTTTTTGTTTTCTAACTCCAGGTTTCTGCACATATCATTATAATACTTCACTTTGTCTTCTTGAGCCACCCTTTGACATCTTTTGTTCACCTGTTTTATCTTGTCATCTCTCCCATTTGCTTTAGCTACTCTCCATTCAAGAGCAAGTTTTTCAGTCTCTTCTGACATCCATTTTGGTCTTTTCTTCCATTCTTGTTTTTTTTAAAAAAAAAATAATAACCATTTTTTTTAATGTATTTATGATGTTCTTGATGTCATCCCACAACTCATCTTGTCTTCAGTCATTGGTGTTCAATGCATCAAATCTTTTCTTCACATGTTCTCTAAGTTCAGGTGGGATATAATCAAATTAGGATTTTGGCTCTTGTGGATTTGTTTTAACCAACCCTTACCATCAACAAATTCTTCATCACAATCACCACATGCTGCAAATGCAGCTTTTAAATCATTGCACTAACCAAAATCCACTTCTGTCAGGTTGATTCCTACTCATAGTTACCCTATAGGACAGGATAGAACTGCCCAAAAGCTTTAACTTTTTATGGAAACAGATTGCCTCACCTTTTTCCTACAGGCGGCTGACTGATTTGAACCATCAACCCTTTGGTTGGCAGCCAAGTGCTTTAACTACTGTGCTACCAAGTCTCCTTTTCTTGTACTAGGAAAAAAAAAAAAAAACAACAACAACCTCACTGCCATCAAGTCCTTTCCAACTCATAGCAACCCCCATTTAGGATTCTGAGGCTATAAATATTTATGGAAGTAGATCTTCCAGTCTGCCTTCTGTGGAGCAGCTGGTGGGTTTGAACCACTGACCTTCCAGTGAGCAATCAAGTGTGTTATCATTATACCACCAGAGATCCTTTTTCCTGCACAGGAAAAGTTATGGGTAAATAAGAATTGCATGTATCTCTTCTGACTTATCTACAAATTCAACTTAAAGACACACTCGTTCAGAACCCAGGGACTGCCTGTATTCCATTACTTGAGGCATTTCCATTTCAATTCCAGGTGAATTTAGAGATCCTCCTCAAGTCTTGGAATCCCTGGTTAGTGCAAACAGTTAACACACTTGGCTACTAGCCCAAAGGCTAGAGGCTTGAGTTCACTTAAAGGTGCCTTGGAAGAAAGGCCTGGCAATCAACTTCCCAAAATCAGCTACTGAGAACCATGCAGAGCACAGTTCTGTTCTGACACACATGAGTCTCCGTGAGTCAGAATCAACTGGATGGCAACTGAAAACAAAATAAAAAATACCACAAATCTTAAGTAGATCAAGCAAGCTCTATTAAAAACAGCACTGGACTAGAAAAAGGCAGAACAATAATTCTGATCTGACTCCAAGAAACTATGTGACCTCGAGCAGGTAATCTCAATTCTGGTCTTGACCATCCCTTCTCACTTAGCAGTCTGAGTTTTTAACATGCAGTTTAGATGACTATTTATTTCTACCCCAACAGATACCTGCTGCTACCTACAAGAACAAGTACAGATGAGAGTAAAGAGCGTAAACGCCCACAGACTGTGATATAATGCCTTTTGGGTAAAGCAAGAGCCTCTGTTAAAATATAAATGTTCCTGGGCTGACATATCACATTAAGCTATTAATATTATCTTCAGACCTCCAGCAGTGCTCTGAGGCATAGGTTGATGAAAATTCTTAGACTTCCTTGCCAATTTTTTTCCTTCCTATCCAGCTGCTCATCAGGTCTTGAGGCCTGAACCATTATTTATCCTTTCCATTTCTAGCAGAGAGCAAAGTGAATAAATGTCCTACATGGATGGAAAATGCTATATAGGTACAGTCTAACATCATTTACATGTAAAATAGAGCATCATGTCCAA